CAAGAGCAAATTAAGAATTCCAATTCCGATGCACGAGTAGCTGACTGATAAGAGCACTTCATGTAAACTATGTCACATGACAAGTGTGAGAGCACTTCAAGTAAAACTAAGTCACATTATAGCTGTGAGAGCACTTCACATACAAGTCACATTATAGCTGTGAGAGCACTTCACATAAAACTAAGCCTTATTATAGCTGTTAGAGCATTTCAGGTACAATTAAGTCATATTATAGCTGTTACAGCCCTTCAGGTAAATAAGGTCAGATTATAATTACAGTGACCAGATCTCTTCTTGGTCGCCTTTATATTCTAGATTTGTAAGAGCACTTTACATAATTAGGTCATGTTATAGATGTGAAAGCACTTCACATAACTAAATCACATTATAGCTATGAGAGCACCTTGTATAACTAAGTTATATTATATTTGTGACAGCATATCATATAAACTAAGTCACATTATAGTTATGAGAGCACTTTACATAACTAAGTCATATTAAAGCTGTGAGAGCACTACACATAACTAAGGCACATTATATTTTTGACAGCATTTCACATAAACTAAATCACATAATAAGTGTGAGAGCACTTGGCAAAACTAAGTCATATTATAGCTGTTAGAGCACTTCATTTACAACTAGGTCACATTATAGGTGTGAGAGCACTTCATGTACAACTAAGACACATTATAGCTGTTACAGCACCTCAGGTAAGCTATGTCAGATTATAATGATAGTGACCAACTTCCTTCTTGGTCGCCTTTGTTATCTAGAGAAATCTGATACACAGACCTATGTGAGGAGAATGGGGCCACCCTATCGTCTTCTGCTATAATGTAAAGGAAAAGACTCAATGTCCTCTTCCATTCAGAGAGACTTCATGTTTCTGTTAACACTTTATACTTCTTCGCACCCATCATTCTGCTACACATATCCTACACTGGTATGCTATACTGTAACTTACACATCTTGTTTTCCCAAATTCATTCTTTTACTCAAACTTATATGCGAGTTCTTTAATTGTCATCAGAATAAGAAACACCTTTTCCTTCTCATGCAAGAAATATAACCGTCCTCTAGTAAGCGTCCACGTTTGTGGCTCAGGCGTTGCGAACATGCTTGGGGATTCCAGGATGCCGGTTTCAATTCCAACTGCAGGCCATTTAGCAGCAGACCGCCTAGCGTTGGTTTCGACAATGGTGTAGACAGCTGACAGTCCAAGTTTTGGCACACTTATAAATATAAAACTGCCTAGAGGAATCACATACAAAACAATTGCAGGTCCCCTGTGTGGGTTCCAGGGCCCCATTATAGGGAAACCAAGAATAGACCCACTGCCTCCCCAAAAAGCATGTTGTAAGAGTCGACTAACTGGGAGCTTCTTTTGAAGTCGGAGTGCATCTGCCCGAGAGGTAAGGAACCAGCAATCTGCATACAAATAAGTCAGATTTGTAAAACTCAGGTCCTGGAACAAAGCCAAAGTCCAGAAATGGATGAACAACCAGGTCTTTCCACTGGAGTTTATAGCCGGTGAACGCAAACAACAAACAACAATTGCAGGGGTTGGTTCTGCAAACTATAGGCAACTAACTTTACTAAGCTATTATTCGTCCCAATGAGAGCCTCGTAGAATGTTCGACCTGTAAACTGATTTTTGTCACAAGCGGTTTTATTCACACAGACGTGACAACACGGATCGACAGTTTGCCAGGCTTGTCATACGAGACTGGTGTCTGTGTGTATGCCCTCCTCTCTCCGGCTCCACAATGGTTTGCGTGCACATGTGCAAAAGCTGGCTGATTATAGATAGGAACGTGACAGGAATGTCTGACAGGTCGTTTGTAGAGGCATTTCTTTGGTCCCTTAGCTAATACCACACTATCTCATCTACTTTGGGTTTCAACACGCCTGTTGTCAACCCACTGTAGCAGCATCGACAACAGCAGTAGTAGTAATAGTAGCAATAGTAGCAGTAGCAGCATCAGTAATAGTAGTGTGAAGGGTATCGTGTCTGTCCACATATTCTGACCCAAGTCCTAAAGTAATTTTTGACACGATGCCAGTTACCCTCTCGCATGGGCTCCCCTCCAACTTTCCTACTGTTAAAACCTAGCGTGTGTTTGTTTATAGCAAACCCAAAGGAAACTGTTAAATTAAAAGAGCCCATTTAATTAAAAATTAAAAATCGACATAACAGCACTCGGGGCACTCCAATAAACACCCCGTCCTCATCTTCAGCAGCAAGTAAAGAGTTCCAGTTCCGATGGAACCAGTAATTAAATTATAGTACATCCATCTGGCCTTTTCCTTGAGTGTTGAGCGTCGGCAAGATCTCCTGGTAACTAGCTGCAGCATTATTCTCCTCAAATCGTAATGATCTATTTGAACTTCTGCACTGTTCACTCGCTCACAAAGGGCCCTCACAACATCTAAGTGGTCACACATCATTTCACCACCAAGTGCTGCAGACCTGGCCACCCAAAGAACTGATGATGGTAACAAGCTACAAGGATTTAAACAAAATACTAATTCTACTTGTAGTTTCTATGTTACGACTGAGGTGTGTTGTGCTACTGCTGCTAGCCCAGAAAGCGGCTAACAGAAGATCATTTATCATCATCATCACGTGCTCTGTCAACTAGCGTAGGTGCCATGCATCTCCACAGATCACCATCCCTGGTTGCCTGGAACAGCTCTCTTGATGAAATCCCTCCATGCCATAGTTTAAGCCCATCCAGCATAATCTCTTTTGGTCTGCCTCTACCCCTTTTTCCACTGATCTTTCCAGTTGTCACGATGTTTTCCAATGCCTCTCTTCTCACTACGTGGCCAGAGAACAGTGTTTGTCTCCTTATTATTGTTGTATTTAGAGATCTACTTTCTTCAGTTTCTTCATAGTTAGTTACTCTGGCCGTCCAGGGTATTCGTAACATTGCTTTCAGAAACCACACCTCTGTTGCTTCTAAATTCATTTTAATTTGTTTTACATTCCAAGATTCGCTCCTATACAGCAGAACAGGCTCTATGTAACATTTTAGCATTCTCTTTCTGACATTAAATGAGAGCGACTTATTGCATAAGATATTTTTCATTTTCTGAAATGCTGCCTTCGCTTGATCTATTCTGCTTTTAATCTCTGCCACACATTTTCCATCTGATGATATTATTGTTCCCAGATATTTGAATTTATTGACATGGTTAAGGATTTTTCCTTCAGTTGAGATATTACAATGTGGTGTTTTCTTCTCTGATATAACCATTACTTCATTTCTCTTATATTCAAGGAAAGTCCTTCCTTAGCACTCTCCATCCCCACATTATCCAGCAGTTGTTATAAATCAACTGCGTTTTCAGTTATCAAAACTGTATCGTCTGCATAACGCAAATTGTTTAGATTGTATCCTCCAACTCTAACTCCTGCATTCTCTTTAATTTCCCTCAAAATTATTTCACTATGTAGAAAGAAAAGGTCTGGGTATAAGACACATCCCTGTCTTACTCCTTGCTTTATCTGTTCAAAAGTACCCAATCTGTTTCCCACTTTAACTCATGCTACTTGGTTCCAGTAAATGTTTTTAATTATTCTGAGATCTTTTCTGTCTACATTGATGTCTTCCAACATTTTTATCATCTCCTCATGTTTAACTTTGTCAAATGCTTTGATATAGTCTAAAAAGCACAAATATAAGTCTTTTTGTATGTCCATTGATCTTTCTATCAAATTTCCTAACATATGTAGTGCATTATTTGTCCCCTTACCTTCCATAAATCCATAAGGCTCTTCACTCATTTCCATTTTTATTTTTCTTCTTGTTCTTCTCTTTATAATTCTAAGTAATCATATGGTAATATGATTTATTAAGTTGACTGTACGAAATTCTTCACAATCAATTGCTCCTGGTCTTTTGGGTAACGCAATAAATACAAATTTCTTCATGTCACTTTGTATGTACACAGTGTTATAAATGTCATTCATCAGTTTAGTTAATATTTCTACCCCAAATTCACAAAGTACTTCTAATTCTCCTACCGAAATTTCATCTCACCTGGCTGACTTTCCTTTCTTTATTTGTTTAATAGCCTCGCTGACTTCTTCCTTTAGTACAGACCAACCTTCTAAATTTATTTCTTTTGGTAATTCTGCTCTTTTTCCATCATATAACTCTGTTATGTATTCATTCCATCTAATTATTTTATCAGCTTCCTCCATTAAGATCTCTCGTGCATTTGATTTCAGACATCATGTGTTTACTCGTATCTTTCTTCCAGTTAGATTACTAATTTGTGTGTGTGTGTGCGTGCGTGCGTTTATGTGTGTGCACATTTCTGGCATCTTTAATAGGACTGAGTTTGATATTTTTTGCATTGTTTATTTAGCCATTCTTATTTTGCCTTCATGCATTTATGCCTTATTTCTTTATTCATCTTGTCATATCCTTCTTTGTCTTTCATAGACTGTTTTCTGTCACCCATTACCTTTACAATTTCTTCGGTCATCTATTCTACAATGAATACAAGATCATTTATAAATTACTAAATTATCATAATTTGTAACCACACATTTAAGTAAATCATTGTCCTCACAAACACCTATACACACAGACACACGTATGTACATACACAGACCTGTACATAATAAACACATGTACACAATAAATACATGCACACACACTTCACTAAATGAAACCGGATTTACATGCCCAAACACGGCTTGCAACTCCAAACAAACATAATGTCACCCAATACAATTATACAAACAATCGTATCTGAAAACTATGTTATCTAACAGGAGACGTTCAAGTCATATGTGTACAGATACATTCATCTGACTTATTAAATATTTAGTGATGCATATTCTGGAACATGGCTGATAACCACTGCACAGAAACGAAGAGGTCACAAGATGTGATTCTGTTTAATCTTTCTAGTTATGACAAAATCTCAGCAATAATTATATTTCATTAAAGCCCACAACTGTAGAACTTGCGCCGATTTCTTACCTGTCCGTGTGGTGATATCCTCGAGATGCTTGGCGGACTGTCTGGTCCCAGCGCTTGCACGTTAGGCGTAACCCTGGCCCCTGTTGCCTGCTGTGACCAATCATCCTGTGCCTCACTGCCAGTATCAAGCTGCTTCGCAAACGAGAAACAAAGAAACTCATTTATTTATGAGTTTGTGAGAAGGTGGGAATAGAAATAATTAGATGGTTACAATTGATGACATCCCAAATCTTCAGTGAAATGTCGGCTCTCATCCCGAATCCTTGTGTGTGCTGGCTCCTTGCGGTTCATGTCTTCACAGTGCTCTCAGCTTTCATCGGCTGTTGTGGCAGTGTTAGAACTCTTTCTGATCAGTGGTGTTGTATCCGACACATAAATATGCAACATAAGCCTGCAACACACTCAAGTAGAATATGTGCTCTTGCCCATAAGGTTTGTGCTTAGATCACACTGACGTTGAATTTTCAACTGCCCTGAATATTAAATCAGCTTAATCTAACAATTTCATTGGAAGTAAAGACGACTGGTATGATACTGATCATATGATCCACACACAAAAACCCAAACGAGCTGAAAATATAGGACCAGCTTCGTGGCATTAAATCTGACATTTCATATTTTTTTTTTTAATACACCACTGTTTGAAATGGGACTGCAATGATCGTTTTTACATGTTGGCAAACATGTCTCATATACCCCGTGCAATATTTTTTATAATGTGAAAACACCGACTGCTGCTGTTTTCAGCGCCGACTGGTTGTTTCGACAGCAATAAAAATGGATTTTGTGTCTGTAAAAACTGAGCAAAACCTGAAATTTGTCACTATTCAAAGTGCTGAAAAGGTAACATCATGGGCAGAAGGGTAGACAGAATGATTGAACTGAAGGTAGCAAGTTGGCCGTTCGAAATAAGATCACCCAGCTGGGCGGTTATTCTTTTCGGACTGATAGAGATTTAACAGCAATACTCGGTCACAGTATGGCCATATCGATTACATACTAGGTGGTCTTAGACTTCTGACCACAGCTGTAAAACATAATGTCTGCTTCTATCCATTGTTTCAACAAGTGCCCACCAATACGTGTGCAAATATTTCTCAATGATGTTCCCTGATCTGCGAATGTCGAACAAAGGTAAGTAACTTGAGCACGCATGAAGCCAACGATCGTGCATTATTATGCCCCATTACATGCACTGGTAACATTTTACATCACAAATATACAAGCACTATGAATAACTGCAGCCAGTGCATAATAAATAGTCATTCAAGACTACACAAATTCATCCTATATGATCCATGCTACAACACATAAACACACAGCGAGTGTCAGTACTGAACTCGAACTAATGCATATACAGTGGGTCGTAAGTCAATGGGAACATTTCACATACATGCATTAGGGCTGCGCAGCCAAAGATCACTAGCAAACATAGTCAGCGAGATTTGGTATCAAAGCTCAGGTATGTGTTACTTATTGTGACAGTTATCATATACCAGCTGACAAGCGTGGGCAGCCATTGTTTGCCATCCCACACAATCGCCGGGCTCTCTGATCAGGTTTTGCGTGATCAAGCCATCCAGGTATTTATCTCATCTGTCTTCCCCGCGCTATTTTCTCATAAAGTTTTATACAACAACAACAACAACTCCTCCTCCTTGTCCTCCTCCTCTCTTCTTCTTCTTATATTTCTTATTCTTCTTCTTCTTATATTTCTTCTTCTTCTTCTTCTTCTTCTTCTTCTTCTTCTTCTTCTTCTTCTTCTTCTTCTTCTTCTTCTTCTTCTTCTTCTTCTTCTTCTTCTTCTTCTTCTTCTTCTTCTTCTTCTTCTTCTTCTTCTTCTTCTTCTTCTTCTTATATTTCTTCTGCTTCTTCTTATATTTCTTCTTCTTCTTCTTCTTATTCTTCTTCTTCTTCTTCTTCTTCTTCTTCTTCTTCTTCTTCTTCTTCTTCTTCTTCTTCTTCTTCTTCTTCTTCTTCTTCTTCTTCTTCTTCTTCTTCTTCTTCTTCTTATATTTCTTCTTCTTCTTCTTAAATTTCTTCTTCTTCTTCTTCTTCTTCTTCTTCTTCTTCTTCTTCTTCTTCTTCTTCTTCTTCTTCTTCTTCTTCTTCTTCTTCTTCTTCTTCCTCCTCCTTCTTCTTCTCCTTCTTCTATAATCTTGGGGGACGTGATCTGTTGTCTCGGGTGCCAATTCACATGTGCAAATGGTTGATTCGCCGATTTTAGATTGTGTGTGCATGTGGCTGCAAAGTCGATTGTGTCCTGTTCTGAGGCGTAGAATAATAACTTATTATAGAACAATGATTTTTGTTTGTTTGTTGGTAGTCTATAACGAAGACGGGCTGCCATCACTTTCCTCCATGGCTATCGCAAAACTGGGCGACGACAGAAAAGATGTTCACTACAGATTACTACTCGTGTGGGGTTGAAAAAAAAGAGGAGGGGTGTGGGGGTTGCTGAACGAGTACCCCATCTTTCCCACGGGGAAAAAACCGAATTCGCTAATATTTCAAATCCCAGTTTTACTGGTATTAAACTGGATTAAAATTCAATCGACCCTACAAAACAGCTTGATGATCTGGACTTCGCTGATGACATTTCTCTTTTATCCCACTCACGGAATTAGATGCAAGATAAATTAAATATACTTGATGCAAGATCACAACAAATAGGTCTAACAATCCATAGGGGAAAGACAAAGATAATGAGAAAAAACCAGACGAATGGTAATGTGGTTTATCTATAGGTATCCCTTTCCAAGATGTGAAGCCATACAATAGATGTGGAGCCAAACAATAGATGTGGAGCCATACAATAGATGTGGAGCCATACAATAGATGTGAAGCCATACAATAGATGTGGAGCCATACAATAGATGTGGAGCCATACAATAGATGTAGAGCCATACAATAGATGTGGAGCCATACAATAGATGTGGAGCCATACAATAGATGTGGAGCCATACAATAGATGTGGAGCCATACAATAGATGTGGAGCCATACAATAGATGTGGAGCCATACAATAGATGTGGAGCCATACAATAGATGTGGAGCCATACAATAGATGTGGAGCCATACAATAGATGTGGAGCCATACAATAGATGTGGAGCCATACAATAGATGTGGAGCCATACAATAGATGTGGAGCCATACAATAGATGTGGAGCCATACAATAGATGTGGAGCCATACAATAGATGTGGAGCCATACAATAGATGTGGAGCCATACAATAGATGTGGAGCCATACAATAGATGTGGAGCCATACAATAGATGTGGAGCCATACAATAGATGTGGAGCCATACAATAGATGTGGAGCCATACAATAGATGTGGAGCCATACAATAGATGTGGAGCCATACAATAGATGTGGAGCCATACAATAGATGTGGAGCCATACAATAGATGTGGAGCCATACAATAGATGTGGAGCCATACAATAGATGTGGAGCCATACAATAGATGTGGAGCCATACAATAGATGTGGAGCCATACAATAGATGTGGAGCCATACAATAGATGTGGAGCCATACAATAGATGTGGAGCCATACAATAGATGTGGAGCCATACAATAGATGTGGAGCCATACAATAGATGTGGAGCCATACAATAGATGTGGAGCCATACAATAGATGTGGAGCCATACAATAGATGTGGAGCCATACAATAGATGTGGAGCCATACAATAGATGTGGAGCCATACAATAGATGTGGAGCCATACAATAGATGTGGAGCCATACAATAGATGTGGAGCCATACAATAGATGTGGAGCCATACAATAGATGTGGAGCCATACAATAGATGTGGAGCCATACAATAGATGTGGAGCCATACAATAGATGTGGAGCCATACAATAGATGTGGAGCCATACAATAGATGTGGAGCCATACACCTATTTAGGCAGTTATGTAGCTAAAGATGAGGGAAGTGATAAAGATATTAAAATGCGAATTAAAAAAAAAACGCAAGGGGAGCTTTCATGGTACTAGGACATTTTTTTTTTTTTAAATGTCAAATTATTAATGTTGTATGAAGCGAAAATATGGAGAAAAACTATTCTACATAAACTAACAATTACTGGCACTTTATTATTATCCTACCCCAGATGACGTCACAGGACAGTCCAACATTTTATATGGTGGTAAGCCTGGGTTTCCCGGCTTCTGATGCTTTTAACGACCCCAAAACCTCTAGAACTGGCCCTAACCTCAACCCACGTATGTCCCAAGAGAGAGTGCAGCCTAGGTCCCACGACTACATGCAGCCTTTCTACCACCCCCTTAAATATTAGACTGTCCCGTGACCTGTGGATTTCCTCTGTTTGGGGTAGGATATTATTAAAGCACCCAATTACTAATAATCTATACATTCATTAGCTGTTACTTGCAAAAAAAAGGGGAATTAATTAGTATAACATAATCATTAACATTAGGAACATCTTTGAAAGAGAACTTAACAAGTTCGCCTTGACCAAGAGATGAAGAAAAGTCGCTGGCATTGCTGAGAAAACCTGAGAACAATATAGCTGAAATGTCTTTGTACCGGAACCCAAAGGGGCGTATAAATGAAGAAAGACTTTAAAAATACAAATAAAAACATTGATAATGGAGATAGACAGTGAAGTTAAAAACAAAATGATAGGGACTTAGCGGGAATTGGTTTGGGGGCCTAGACTTCATTGGGGGACAGAAGGCAACAGATAAAGACACAACTTGTTGAGAGACTAAATATAAACTGCAAATTCTGGTCTGTTTAGTTCCAACGCATAGAAACAAACTGTTATTGACAGCATGTCACAGTGACATATCTATTATTCTCGTTACTCTTTTTACAAACAGTTGGGTCGTGGGGTAAACTGAAACCTGAGACAGATTTTAAAAACATCCGACGTTTTGAAGACACCGTGGTGTTGTTAATGGAAACATGTAGTTTTGTGTCTATGACACAGCTGACTCTGTGTGTTTGAGCTTGCACACATAAATGGATCATACCTTTTGCTTATCTTATGATAAGCTAATTTGCTTCATAGTGCAAATCTGACTAGCGTCGACAGATCGTAGGTTAAGTCAAGGACTAGAGAAGATATTTTCCCAACTGATCTAATCTCTGTGTATAAAGATAAAATGTTACCTGCGCTAAAGTGATCGTCGAAGTGCGCCCAGTGCTAGGACTTTCATTTGTCTCTGGGAAATATTCAGAAGAAGCAATAACCCCAGTCTGTTGGCCTCCATCTGGACTTTCCTTCTGTGAACTTCTGGGGGCTAGAGTTAGATAACTGACCTCTGAGTCGATGACAGGAGATGAAAATGTGTCATGATGGAGAAGACTGCAGGATGATTCGCCAGTACCGGTATCTGTTATGTCTGTGTTACTAGCATCAGCAGACTGGAGCATCTCTGGGCCGGCTTCAGCGGTTATGGTTGAGTTGCAACTTTCAGTTGTCTGTTGTGCTAAAACTGAGGCTAAACCTACTGATTTAGATGTCGAAGCTGAAGCTTCAAACGCCTTAGCCATGGTTCTGGGGCTGTCTATGGAATGTGATACACTCGTACCCCTTGACATATCCGATGACGTTGCAGTAGAGAGAATTTCACCACTCCAAGTTGGTCTTGGAATAGAGTCCGTCCTTGGTGGAGGAATCAGACGAGGAAGCTCAAGAGATATAGGAGTTGTACAATGTTCGGAGTTTTGATGCTCCGACTGTATCCTCTCTTCGAGTTCATCCTGAGTTAATCTCGCTAAGGATAACACAGAGTCTTCATCACTGAAAGCATGAAAGTCGAATTCTGGCAAACTATCGTAAAACAATTGCCCTGGTGAATGAACAGGAACTACTCTTTTATTCTGCGCTGTGGCAGCGAAGTAGTCCGAGTAGGCGGATTCTGGATGGTAGTGTTTGCGAAACACACTGGGACTCAGTTGCGCACTGTCTAAGGCAAGCTGGCGAATCTTCTCATTAACTTCACTGATTTCTATGTTGTAACGCTTGATCTGTTCGGTGAGATCCTGAAGACACATGCACATTAGAGACAGAGTGTCGTTTATAAGTAATGAAAATACAACTACACCAATGCGCAGTTGCGTGCATTACCTATTTAGAGTATATACACAATATCAGGTTAGTCAGCATTAGGACAGAAAGGGAATGAAAGCGGGCACGTAAGTGACCATTTCTCTCTCTCTCTCTCTCTCTCTCTCTCTGTCTCTCTCTCTCTCTCTCTCTCTCTCTCTCTCTCTCTTCTCTCTCTCTCTCTCTCTCTGCCTCTGTGTGTGAAGGTATGTATGAGTATTTGTGTGTGTGTGTGTGTGCATATATATATACACATAGATATAAAACAGGCAGGCAGGCAGGCAGACATCTGGATAGTGAGAGAGATATGGTGAGAGTGAGAGTGAGACAGAAAGAGAAAAAGGGGGGGGGGGGGGGAGATGTAGACTGTGTATTGTCAAGTTTCCCAGGTTTTCATGCCTTTAAGAGTGTTATCTTATAACGTGTGCCTCTATAAGTTTAGACTACTCTTGTTGGTCCTAACACGCTAGGTATAACAAGCTTTACATACACTTCAGTCAGCTAGCATTGCTACACTTACACATGCTTTTTGTGTAAGTGAGTCAGGCTGACAAAGACAGAGAAAAAGATACACAGAGAGAGAGAGAGAGAGAGAGAGAGAGAGAGAGAGAGAGAGAGAGAGAGAGAGAGAGAGAGAGAGAGAGAGAGAGAAACTGAGAGAGCGAGTAGAGAGAGAGAGAATGAGAGAGAAAGGAAGAAGAGACACACACACACACACACACACACACACAGAGAGAGAGAGAGAGAGAGAGAGAGAGAGAGAGAGAGAGAGAGAGAGAGAGAGAGAGAGAGAGAGAGGGAGAGATTGTCAGTTAGGAAAGGAGGAAGCGGGCGAATGACCATAAGAAATAAAAGCAAAGGAACCTGTCCACGCCTTTCGGCGTATTGGGCATATAGGGCTAGACCTATATTTTACAGACCAGTCGACATTTGAGGGGTGATGTAGTCACCATCACGCCGGCCGCATTTACTTCACAGGACTCTATCTAAATGCTGAATGTTGAATAAGGAATCGAAATCATAGTACTCAGGACACCCCATCAGCGCTTCATCCCCACCTGTAGGCAGCAAACAAAGAGTTGCAATTCCGATGGCACCAGTAACTGTCTGATTGTCTATCCGTCTCGCCCTTCCCTTGAGGACTTCATCTCGTAACCATTCAAGGCTTGGTCGACGTGAGAGCCAAGGAAATGTTTGAAAAAAGTCCAATACCCTCAGGACTTGGACCCCCGACCTTCCGATCCTCAGGCGTAGCGTCTAGCCGCTTCACCACAGTAGCTCCCTAATAACCTTGTGACAAGATGAATAGATTTAAACACCGAGGACCGAAAATAACTGTGACGAGACCAAAACGTGACATGCATAATGATTCAATGACATAAATAGTCCATGCATACAAAAACAGCATGCCTATGAGGATACATGCCACATTCGTCGACAAATATTTGCATTAACGTTTGTCAATGTACAGTCTAGGGTTGTTTTTAGAGATCACCAGCTTCTTTTACCACTGGAATACTGTGAATGAATGAGAACATATACGTTATCACTGGCAACTGGTGTCTCTATGTGTAGTTTTTTTTATGAGCGCAGCATTATCTTCAACTTCAATTACTAAAAAAGTACACTGTACCAAAGATTGATATATATATATATATATATATATATATATATATGATATATAATTTTTATATATATATAGGAAATCACAGATGTTACATGGAAACAATCATCACATCCTTCTTGTGTCATAGTTTATCCGTTTGACTCAGAATTTGAAACAGAAAAGTCTCGGGTGGGGTAGGGGGTGGATACACGATAAAAAAAAAAAAAAAAAAGCAAAACTGGATTCCCTATTAAATGCAAATCAAATTCCATGACTGCAACAACCACTGTAAAGCAAGAGTCTGACCGAATCAGGATGACAAAACTGATGTTTTTGGTTATGAGTAAACGAAATGAGACTGTACATGTTAAACTGTCTCAGTGTTGATCCTATTTGGTTTGCGTACAGCTCAGTTTTGTGAACAGTTTCAAAATAGAATTGCCTACTCATTAATACTGATGCTTGTTTGCAGAGTACAAGTGTCAGATTTACTGTTACCAATCAAATCATACGTGTTATATAAACAATCCTCAGAACGATATATGCATAATAGTAAGCGTTAAAACAAATGCATAATATAACAACATACCTTGCATTTCTACACACTAGGTATCAGAGACACGCGGTTTACAGGCTAGAAACTGAAACAAACAGTTTACACAACAACAAACCATCTGACAAACAAGAAATACATACTGTGCGCTCCGTCATCAGCTGCCTCAGCTTTCCAACACTCTCTGCTGATACCGAAGACTCCTGCAACTTCTTCTGCGCCTCATCAATGTCGTGGGTGAGGAGGTGAAGTTCCCTCAGGTATATCTGGTGCTGCTGCAGAGCCACTTGCAGACTGTCCCGTTGATCTCTCGCAGACGTTTCCAGCAATCCTAGCTCTGACATAAGATGACCAGCCGGAGTCAAAGTTGGCTCTGGCGATGATGAATTAAAGTCATGGATGACCTGTCTGTGGCTGGCTTCTGGGTTATGGGCAACAAGCTGTTCAGCTCGTGCTTTGCTGCTGATGACATCTTCAAGCAGGTGCTGGGGAACGGATTGAAAATTATGAAAACATGCGTAGGGTTGGTGGGTGCTTCTCTGTTTGAAAAAATCGTCACGTTTAAAAAGCATCCCTGAAGGAGAAGGCTTAGATTATAATTGTGACTAGGTAATGTGCACCATATAACATGGCCAAGCACTGCATGCCACCAAGAGACCTGAAGAGGACTTCTGCAGTGTTGATGCGACAAAGCAAAATACTACCCCGACCGGCGACGAAGTCGTCTACTGCGTCGTTTTTATGGCAACTTCGGAAGATGAGATGTGAACTATTTCGCGGTAACTAAAAAAATAATGGATCTTTTTATCTTACATATTAAAAGAAAGTTCTGAAAGTATCACCGGGAAGAACAATCAGGGGCCGATCTGCACGAATGTGGGCCGGATATTAAGATCACAATGGGTTTAAAAGTTCAAGACACAGGAAAGTTGGCAGGGGACTGAATGGCCCACTGACGTGACGTATTTCAGAATTAATACAAGGTAAGGGTGAGAGGATCGACTTCATTGCACCGGGTTTATCCCATATGTCCCAGTCTCTCTCAGCAGAACAGCTAGCTGCATGCCGAGAGCGTCACACATAGCACGACCTCCGTAGCTCCGGCGACGATTCCCAGGGATATCCGTAAAAATTGCACTTATGAACTGAAGCGGCGCCGCTGTGAAACGAACCTACGACATTCAGAGTGCGAGGTAAACGGAGTTAAGTGAAATAATGAAAGAGATTTCAGTGAACATAGAATGTTTGTGTGTGTGCTGTCACTGACGCATAGACGACAATCATGGTTTAATGCCACGTAAACACCCTGAGCCACACTTTGTATATATCTATTTTTTTCATTTCGTAAAATCAGTTCTCTAGTATTGGTTCTTTAGTACTAGTCAAAGAATGCTTTAATCGTTTCTGATATTTGATAGCTGGTCCGACACAATGTGTAACTCAGTGTTTCTTACAGTGGGCTATACTGACTCTTAACGGAACAATTAGGTTTTTTAGAGTGAAAGTATAAAAAAAATTATCTCTCTTTCTCACACACACACACACATACACGCGCGAGCGCACGCACGCGCGCGCGCGCACACACACACAATGTCAAATAGATTCTCAGGACATTACTCAAATATTTAAGTGAAAGCGTAACAAACGACATAAAACCGTTTGAATGCGTAACAATCAATCTCATCATATATCGAGTGCCTTGTCGACTGGCGTTGGCGACCATGCCTCTCCACAATCTGCAATCTTCAACAGAATGATTCAGTTCGTGGGCTAACATTCCCTCCTTGCCATAACAAAAGGCTGTCAAAAATCGCATTGCGTTGTCTTCCTCCGACTCTGTTCCCACAAATCTTTCCGCAGACCACAACATGTTCCAGTTTCCTTCTTCGTATAAAATTACGACTTTAAAACATCGGTGCTACCCTTGTTAGCTGTCCAATCAATTCTCAAGATGATGTCACGGTGCAGATCCGTAATCTGTTTTACTACACAGTGAACATATAAATTAGATACAGTAAAATCTTGCTTAAGACGAAAACTCCGTTAATAAGAACAACATTTTGGCCCAGCAGGAATTTACATTCATTATTAGATGTATTACTCCACGATGAGCACGAATTTTTAACATGAACTCTTGAAGTTTTCAGTCCCTCGACTGTGCATTTTTTTTTTTTTTTTAAATCCATAAACTATGAGCAGTTAACCTTTGGCTCGATACTATGGATACCGTAATCCTTCGGCCTTGATTCCATGATAGATACCGTCAATCTGGGAGGCTTTTCTGCCTATCCCCGGGCGTAAACCCGGACCATAAGGAGTTCGTCACCCGGTCGCCACGCAGTCAGGTTTAACCAACTGAGCTAGCTATGGAAAGACAAGCAGGAATCATAGAAGCTGCTTCTGATATTGAGAGAGATAAAAGAATACAGATATGTATGTTTTTAATAGAGAGAGAGAGAGACAGAGAGAGAGAGGGTGGGTGGGGGGGGGGGGTAAGAGAGATAAAGTGATAGAGAGAGAAAAGGGGATATAGATATGTATGTTTTTAATAGGGAGAGAGAGACGGAGAGGGATTTGGGGTAAAAGAGATAAAGTGATAAAGAGATAAAAAGGGATACAGAGAGATAAAAGGACAGAGAGATAAGGGGATAGAAATGGGTATGTTTTTAAAAGAGAGAGAGAGGGGGGGAGGGATAAGAGAGATAAGTGAGAGAGAGAGAAATGAAGGGATACAGAGAGATAACAGGACAGTGAGAGATAAAGAGATAGAGATATGTATGTTTTTAATAGGAATAGAGAGAGAGAGAGAGGTGTAAGAGAGATAAAGTGATAGAGAGATATGAAGGGAGACAGAGAGATAAAAGGACAGAGAGAGATAAAGGGATAGAGATATGTATGTTTTAATAGGAATAGAAAGAAAGAGAGGGGTAAGACAGATAAAGTGATAGAGAGATGTAAAGGGATACAGGGAGAGAAAAGGACAGAGAGTGATAAAGAAATATAGATATTTATGTTTTTAATAGGAATAGAGAGAGAAAGAGAGAGAGGGAGAGAGGGAAGAGGGGGGGGGGTAAGAGAGATAAAGTGATAGAGAGATATAAAGGGATACAGGAAGATAAAAGGACAGAAAAAGATAAAGGGATAGAGATATGTATGTTTTTAATAGGAATAGAGAGAGAGAGAGAGAGAGAGAGAGAGAGAGAGAGAGAGAGAGCGATCCAAACGATCATATACCATCTAAACAAACAAGGTTAGTTACAATGGATCGCCTGCAGTCTCCGTCCCACGCACTAGCTGTAGAATGGCTCAGTTTATTCATCGCCTGACCTTTCTGTATCAGTGTTTTATCTCCTGCCTTCAACCACCCGCCGTCCTCTTCCCTTATACTATTATTCTATAAAATCAAAAGTGGCTGAAATATTTCACTTGTCTTTTATAAATGATTCACTTGAAAGATTTTCAATGTTCACTCAAAACATTGGTTCAATCATTGATAATCTAATACAAGTCTATGTAAACTGGATATTTCGATGCCTTATATTATTATTTTTTTTATATATATATATATTAGGTGTGTGTGTGTGTGTGTGTGTGTGTAAATAGTATTACTTCTGGATGGGATTGCAAAAAGGTGGGGTGGGGTAGGGGTGGATGGAAGCGAATTAAATGCTACTCTATCTAGTGTTTTGCCAATTACGATTGTATTTTCTATAAGCACTAACAAAATGCATCATGATATTAATAATAATTATTATGATGAAGATTATAATGATAATTTTAAAAAAAAATCACTAAAAGCAGAGTTTTTTTTTTTAGACACTTTTACCGGTGCCTGTTGTTTTAGAAAACAGCCATGGGAATAAGGCAGACATGCAGCAAGAATGTTTCTTCATGGAGCTACAGTCGATATCAGAAATTCTGTTAACGCTTGTAGATGCAGATTTACCGTTAAAACACAGGGGATGACTGGAAAAAGCGTTAGACATTAACAAATAATGTGACATATGATCACAGTGTCATTAAAAGCATTTCAGTATCGATATCTGAAACGTTATTTCGCACACATTGCTGGCGCGATAACATCGTCAGTAAACTCAGCATACAGGTTGTATTTGAAACAAATGTTGCTTACCTTGGATAAAGTAGCTTTAGCAGTAGGCGACAGCAACGTCTCGCGTCTATCAACGCACAGATGAGGCGAGTCATCAGCCTGGTTTTGTGTCACTGACTCCGGAGAGGTTACGGCAGTATCTCGGTGACTACCGCTGCCAATACTTCCATCTCCTTGACCCGGTGAGTTTCCGGTGAATGAGCTTCTGTCTACATGTGCCATCTGCTCGATCTGATCACCATCTTGTTGGCTGTCACCGATCTCGTCAGTGCTGATGTTTAGTTCGTCGTCTAATACTGGAAAACTGTCAGTTAAAAAGCTTACACTGAACACATTTTCAGAGCTGTCCCGGGACACCGTGTTGGTAGCTGCCTCCTCTAACGACTCGACAGTCTCAGAATTAAACAGGCGCCGAAGATCTTCATTAGCATTGTTATTATTCCTTGAAATGGAAACTGTTCCAAACGCATTTTCAGTTTTGCTTTCAGATTTATTATTCCCAACATCATCAGTCTGACTAAGCGTCGTCATATTGTGTGTGTATTCACAGTTCGAACACGCTTCAGGAGTTTTCATAGAATCGTCTGGCCCGGCAACGCTGCTTTCTGAATCCTTTTCAACTTGGCTAACAACCAGGACATCACTCAACACCCTCAAAGATTCACCTCTGGATGAGAAATCCGGGAAACAATGAACGCCCAACTTGTCGGCTGCAGCAGCCACACCCTTAACGTCACTGACTGCAGACTGTTTACCATATGACTCCTTGACATTTACTGCGTGTCTTAGTGCATTCGCTTGCGCCTTTTTCTTTTCGTGCTTCTTCGCAACTTTCTTCTTTTTTTCCCCCTTGGTTTTCTGTTTAGACACGGAGAGGGCTGTTTTCAATGACACGTCGGCAAGAGGTACCGAAACATTAACCGGCATAGCAGCATCCGTCGTAGTGGAATATTTTCGTGTATTCGTTATAATGTCCGCTGAATGAGACGTGTCACTGCTTTGTGGTTCAAGGTTAATACTGGTAGAAGACTGGTGAATTACTGACCTATTCAAACCAGTGTCTGAACTAATATCGTCACGATAGGGGCTATTTGTTACTGCTTCAGTGACATCTAAATCCTCTTGATGCCGGATGGATTCGATGTTTCCAGCAAACTGTGTCACCGACGCCTGGATTTGTTCATTCATGTTACTATCATTGTGTTCTCTGGCAGAGTCCGACGACTTGAAATCATCTCGCTGTGTCCAGACGGCGCCAGCAGATGCTGGGAATAGAACCCTTGTCCTGACCGTTAAGTTCTCTGTTACCACCGGATCTCGCTGGCAAGTGTTCAGAATCAACATCTTTGTCACCGATTGCTACTTCACCTTTATTTTCGTGAATCTGATTTTCTTCATCTGTATTTTCTTTATATTTCTCTTTAACACTAGTAGTACATTTCGATGCAGCGTTTTCTGCATGCAAATTTCCTAGTTTATCAGCAAAACTGCCCGTCAAATCGTTTCTTAATTTTTCATCTGCACCATCACTCTCCACGTTTATGCTTCCAATATCTTCCAATGTCCACATCTCATGATGTCCTATGAAGTGTTCCATTTTGCCACCTGCACTGACTTCTTCGATTTCTTTGGTTCTGTCTGCCTGATCTTTTTGTCGCTCAATTGCTGCTTCATATCTTTCGCTGTTTATATCATTAGCATCGTCAATTTGCCACTGACTGTTTTTAGTTTGCATTTCTTCAATTTGATATACTAGGCTATTATCAATGGGTACTTGGACAATATCCGCTAAATAATATGGTCGTTCCTGATTCCGATCATCCCTTTCCCATTCCACACTGCCAATATTTTCTGCCATTGAAGAATGTCTGTCTGCAGTCTGTACTGGAGACTTTACTGCCTTGCGCGTTGTCTGCTAGATCTTCTCTCTGCATTTCATCTTCTCTGTCAATTTTATTTGTAACAACACAAGTATTATTTTCGACTCTCAAGTCGACAATACTTGCAAGGATATTACTAGACGGATCAACTGCACCTTCCTTTTCGGTCTCATCTGTATATCGCCACTGCTGTGTGTCCTCAGTAACTTCAAATTCCAATTTTAAATTACCTGCTGTGAAGTCATCAGATCGATACGGTGGTATGATATTTGTAATCTCTCTGCTTATATCAGCCGGCTCTTCGACTTCATCATCAGTGTCCCATCTGACATTGCCTGTATCTTCAACTCCACAGCCCACGCAGTCTAATATCCTGTTCTCTGTGTCATGGACTCTATTTGCTAGATCTGTGTTACCTCCTTCGGCTGTATATTCCACACTAGCGCCAACACTTGTGATGTCTCTGAGTACTTCATTTCTGTCTGCCATATCTTCCTTCGGCGCGCTGCCTTCGTCATCACTTTCCCATCGGACATCGCCAATATCTTCACTTCTCCCTTCCTCATTATCGGTATCATTTGTATCCCTTCTCTCATCTACAGTTAGACCTAAGATCTCTTGATTATTATTCAAAACAGCATCTCTCGATTCTTGATCATCACTTTCCCATTTAACATTTGCAATATCATCAAAGTTCCACTCGATATTATCTGACAAAGAGCCATTTATACAGACTCCTCCAACGTGTCTACACTTTTGCTTGCTTTCTCCCACGTCGTATCTCTGTCGTTCATCCTTGTCTTCCCAATGTGTCAGTCTCACAACGCCAAGATTTTTAATACTTAGTTTCACATGACTTTCTGTGAAGTATTCGTGCCTGTCAACAGAATTAATGTCGCTGCTACATATAGTCCCACCTGCTACATCTTCGATATGATCTTGCTTTTTCTCATCAACTTCCAATTTCACACTGTCAGTATCTTTAACGACTCGTTTAACACTATCTGCTATAATACTATTTCCCAATAGGGCATCCCCAACAACGCAGCTGCTTTCTTTATTTTTATCTAAATTGTCATTACTTACCTTGTCGTCTTCGTCATAGCTGTTCCAGTTCACAATATCAATATCTTTAAAGTTCCACTTTATATTATCTGTGATGGATTCCTCAATTCTGTCAACGACACCCCTGTCAATAATCTCTTGAGCACTTACAGCGCTGCTATCAGTGATATCACCTGTAACATCTGAGGCAAGACCATCCTTTTCGTCTGCTAAGTTTTCTTTTCTCCTCTCATCGCGTTCCCACTTTAAACTGTCCATGTCTTCAGCACCGATGACCTCAACATCGTTAAAAGAGATCTTCTTTGCCCACCGAGTTCATCTTTCCGCTCTCGCTGGCTCTGCCTCTCACATATGCTATCAGTTGTTCTTCTTCATCATAACTTTCCCATGTCACGTTTTGGATATCTTCAAATCTCCACTCAGCTGTGTCGATTGTGGTTTCTTTTGACTGTTTGACTCTTTCTGTGAAATCATCGCCATGTCCTTCTATTTCATCATCACTTTCCCATTTCACGTTTTGGATATCTTCAAATCTCCACTCAGCTGTGTCGATTGTGGTGTCTTCTGAATGTTTGACTCTTTCTGTGAAATCATCGCCACGTCCTTCTATTTCGTCATCACTTTCCCATTTCCCATGCTTGGCATCTTTAACTGTCTCTTCCATGTCTGCTTTGATATTTTCTCTTTTGTTAGTTACACTGTCATAATTTTCTTCAATTAAATCATGAAGGTAAACGCTTTCTTTTTCGTAATCATCTTTTTGTTGTACTCTATTAGCTGCCTCGTCTGTACTGTCAATATCACTTGCGTGAATGACTTTCTGGCCGTCAGCGACTTGTGTGCCTTTGATGAGCTGTCCCATCACGTCAGCATTATCTTGCTCTAAGTGCCCAATATCCATGTCCGGAATCGGATCATTATCTGTTACCAATTTTACAAGCGTACTGTCCACATTTCTGTCTTGGATTACCTCTGCCACACCGTGACTTCGCTCGTTTTCTTCCTGTCCATGTTCCCACTTCCCACCGCTAACATCTTCAAGCCTCCGGTCACTGTTGTACGTTTCCAGATCTCTATCTACTACACTTTGATCGTTAGTCCTCTGAATTATGTCCGTCCGATCTTCTCCCCAGCCACTGTCTTTGTTATCGATATCCCACCTAACACTAGCAATATTATCAACTCCCCAGTCCATGTTGTTTCCAAAGAACACCCCCTCCTGACCATCTACACCTGTCGTCCCATCAGCAAGATACTCACTGTGACTTTGTTGTTTACCACCAGTTTTTCTTTGAACATTGGTGATCCCCTTAAACATACCTTCTAATGGATCTATTGTGTTTTCTCGAGTCACACGGATTCCGCCTCTGCTCTCGTGTTTGTCATCACTTTCCAATTTCACATCAGGAATTTTCCTTTCCACATTTTCTGTGACAATATCATTTTTGTTGGCTTCATTTTTATCACCAAGTTTATGAGCTAAATCGAGAAGATGTACTTTTTGTTCTTTTTCCTCACTTTCGCATTTCAACCAAACGTCACCAGCGTTTTCAACTGTCGTGTTTTTGTAGTCTTTTTGAACGAAAGTTGGATCATAGTTTACACTGATATATTTATCAAGTGCAGCTGCATCCGTCGTTTCTAACAGTGTTTGCTGCAAATATCCATCCCCGGTGTCCAACGGGAGGTTGACGTTTGCTCCTGTTACAGCTTCAGCATTAGCAATAGTCAGTTGACAAGTTTGATCCTGCTCATGAACTGTCACTGACACATCTTCTGTTCGTTTCTCTATCCTGTCACATTTTTCTGTCTTCTCCTGTAAATTATTATCCCTGTAAGCATGCTCTCCTTCTTCATTGTCGTTCAGGAGGGTATCAATTCTAGTAGAGATGCCACGAATATCCAACAAATCATCTTCATCACATGTATCAGCACTTTCAGATTCAGCTGTAACTGAACCTATAGATGGCTGTGGATCCTGTTCGCCTTCTATGAGAATCCCTGACTTTGTAAATGTGCTGCCGATGTCCATTTTATAAGTATGACCAGGTTTGTTGCATTCTTTTGGGAAGTCTTCACTCGTGTAATATGGGTTACGTGTGTCATATTGGCAGCCTAGGTCGCCAAGCCTTTCAAAATATATAATCGACAAAACTGGTCTGTCACCAGTCGTCTGCACCTCTGCACGGCTATTAGCAGACAGTTGGTTTGCTGCAAGTGATTGTTGTGTCAGTGTCACTGTAGCTGCAGAATACGCAATAGTGAAAGCCTCAGACCTGTCCACAGATCTCTCCTGCACGAGATTCTGACTTGACAAGTTGCTCTGTTTCTCACTGGGTTCAGTAATCTCGGGAGGAGCTGCAGCTTCGTGAGCCAGCATGCTCTCAGCCACATCTCTGTGATGTACCTCTTCACCCTGGACATTAACTTGGCCAGTGCCTAATGTGACTTCAGCACTATCCGGAATATGATTCACATTCATGTCATTAATCTCTTCAAACGGAACATCTGATTCCCAAATCCTGTTATAATTATCATAGTTGTCATTCCTGCTCGTCTCTCTGGCCCTGGGTGTAGTCTCTTCGC